GAATACGTAGAGAGGAGATCTACGCCATGGTGAGGGATGGGAGGGACGGGCAGGACGTCAGATACGACGCGAGCGCACCTAGCTTGTCCTCCTCCTCCTTCTCCTCCTCTTCCTCCCCCTCCTCCCCTCCCATTCCTCCCCTCCTCCTTCCTCCTCCCCTCCTCCTCCTCCTCCTCCTCCCCCCCTCTCTCCCCTCCGTCCTCCTCCTCCTCCTCCTCCTCCTCCTCCTCCTCCTCCTCCTCCTCCTCCTCCGCCCCGCCCCACCGCGTAAGCCGTCGGCGCGCACGCGGGGCACTCGGCCGCGCCGCCGCCGCCGGCCCCGTCGGAGCCGTTGCCGCCGTCGGAGCCGTTGCCGCGCGGCCCCTCGGCCGAGGCGTTGTCGCCCGGCTCCTCGGCCGAGGCGTTGGCGCCCTGCGGCGCTCGCGGCAGCCCCTGCTCGCGGCCCCGTCCTCCCCTGCGCTGCCCTGCCCTCTCCCCTCCCTCTCCTCCTCCCTCTCCTCCCCTGTCCCCCCCCCTCCACTGTCCTCCTCCCTCCCTCCTCCCCTCCCCTCCTCCCTCGCCTCGCTCGCCTCGCCTTCCACCCTCCTCCTCCTCCTCCTCCTCCTCCCTCCTCCTCCGTCATGCTCATCCTCCTCCCAAGCCGCCTGGGCGTCTCTCTTCCTTCATTCCCTCGCCTCGACGTCTTCCATCCCTCCTCCCACGTCCAGGAGGTCTGAGGGAATTGATTGCACTCCTTCTCCCCCTCATCCGTTGGTTCCTCCTCTCTCCCCCTCCTCCTCTCCTCCTCCTCCTCCTCTCCTCTCCTCGTCCTCTCCTCTCCTGCTCCTCTCCTCCTCCTCCTCGTTCTGCTCCTCCTCCTCCTCCTCCCGTTCCTCCTCCACTTCCGCCTCCCCTTCCGCTTCCGCCGCCTCCTCCCCCTCCTCCTCCTCCTGCTCCTCCTCCTCCTCCTCCGCCTACCTCCCTCTCGTCCCTCTCTTCCGCCTCCTTCCGCTACGACCTAGGAAGGTTCAGGTCAATTGCACTCCTCCTCGTCCACCTCATCATCACCATCATAATCAGCATCACCATCAGCATCAACATCCGCATCCGCATCACCACCAATATCACCATAATCATCATCAGCATGAATAGCATCAGCATCATCATCATCATCATCATCATCATCATCATCATCATCATCATCATCAGCATCCTCATCATCAGCGTCAGCATCATCATCAACATCAACATCATCATCAGCATCATCATCATCATCACCATCAGCATCATCAGTATCAGCATCATCAGTATGAGCATCGTCAGCATCATCACCATCATCATCAGCATAATCATCAGCATCATCATCAGCATCACCACCACCGTCGCCATCAACATCATCATCATCATCATGACCATCATCATCATCCGCATCCGCGTCCGCATCCTCATTCGAATGATCAGCATCAGCATCAGCATCATCATCTTCATCATCAACATCAGCATCATCAGCATCATCATCGTCATTAGTATCATCATCATGATCATCATCATAATCAGCAGTCATCGTCATCAGCACCAGCAGCAGCATCAGCACCAGCAGCATCATCATAACCAATACCAACACTCACATCATCATTATCAACAACAATATCACCCTGGACCGATATATCAACATCGCAAGCACAAACATTATCATTATCATCCGTACCACCGTCATGCTCATCGTCATCCACATCATCATCATCATCATCGCCCGCATCGTCCTCGTCATGACCATCATCATCAGTATCAGCATCATCAGTATCATCAGCATCAGGATTATCATCATCGTCGTCGTCTTCGTCTTCGTCGTTGTCGCCGTCGTCACCATCAACATAAACTGCACAAACAACATCCTCATCCTCGTCCGCATGATGCTCGTTCCACTCCTCCTCTGTCTCCCATTCCCGTCATCCTCTTCCATCGCCTCTTCCGCCCTCATCCCTTCTCTACTCCACCTCCTCCTCCTTCGCCTCCTCCGCCTCCTCCTCCTCCTCCACCTCCACCTCCTCCTCCTCCTGCCCCCTCGCAAGCCCAACCCCCTCTCCTCCTCGTCATCGTCATCCTCCGTCTCCCTCGGTCCTCCGTTATACTCCTCTTCCACCTCCCCCGCCTACCTCCACATCTACTTACTTTGTCGCTCTCTCTCTCTCTCTCTCGCTGTCTCTCTCTTTCTCTCGCTCTTTCTCTCTCCCTCTCTCTCCGTGTGCCTGCCCCCCTCCTAGGTGATCCTCCTCCATCCTCTGCTCGTATCCCGTCCCTCCCTGCAGGGAGGAATACATAGTAGGGAATCGGAGCTAGTCGAAGCAAGGGGAGAGAAAGGGATACATCGACACGAGGCCTCCATACACGACAAGGAGAAGAGATGAACTAGGAGTGACGATAGACTTAGACCCTCGAAGATCCCCAGGCAGGAGGAAGACCAATCTATGGTACGGTGAAGGATACAAGCTTGAAGGGGTACATCGGAGATGGCATTGGACGATATTGTGGAAGCTGGGGGACCTCGCCTTGCCAAGAAGACCCGCCGTCTTGTACTCCTCTCCCTCCTGCCTCGCATCCTCCATCACTCCCGCGCTCGTCATCTGTCCTCCCTTCCCCTCCTGCTCCTAAGCCCTCTTCCGCCTCCCTCCTCCCCTCCTCCCCCCCTCACCTCCTCCCCTTCCCGCCCCATGCCCTGCCTCCTCCCTTTCCCGGCCCAGGGGCGCCCGAGCGGCCCACCCACCCGCGTCGCACAAGGTGGGGCCCCGAGCAGCGGGGGCCGAAGCCCGAGGCCACGCCACAACCACTCTCTCGCCCTCCCCTCCCCCCCCCACCCGAGGATTGGGAAGCTCCGCTTCTGGGAGGTCGGGGCGGGGGGGAGACACGCGATAATCCCCCGACCAGCCATGAAGGATAAACGAATTACGTTCCTCTCCTCCTCCTCCTCCTCCTCCTCCTCCTCCTCCTCTTTCTCCTCCTCCTCCTCCTCCTCTTTCTCCTCCGTCTCCTCCTCCTCCTCGCTGATCCGTCCGCCCTTTTTCTTGTTACCCCCCACCAAGGTTCCTTGTTTCTCGTGCTTACCACCCCTGATTCCCTTTACGTGTATTACCCTCGTCCTCTGTTTCCTGACCCTTAGCACCATCACTCCCTCCCTTCCTCTCTCCCTCCGTCCCTCCCTCCCCCTTCCCCCTTGATCCTCCAATCCAGACGTCTCCAGAAGCCGCCAAGAGCTTCACTGAACACAGACTCTCACACACACACACACTCGCGCACACACACACACACACACTCTTCCTACCACCCCGCCCCGACCCATCCGACCATCGATGTAGGCCAGAACATATAAATCCAACTGTGGGGGGCAAAGGCATGACATCCTGGCTGTTATAGCCAGGACAACACAATGTTTCAGGAGGATTCTGAAGACCTGGGCCTAAACAATAAAAATAAACAGCGAAACAGAAAGAAGGCGAACGGGAGGAAGGAGAGCAGGAAAAGAGGGGGAATATGATGATACGTGCGATGAGAAGTGAGATAATGGTGAGGGGATAGTAGGATGGTATGCACGACGAGGTGGAGGAGGAGTGCGCTGGGCGATGAGCCGCTGCGACATCAATATCATCCTGTTCAGCAACCTCATAATTTGGCCAAGCCCTCAGACGAGCAATTGCCGAGATCTGTTTGGCAATGGGCGCTCTAGATGACTGTATGTGGTAGAGCGCTACCATATTGAACACGCATTGCTCATAATGGTGCATGTCGTCGTCGGTGCCACGCAATTGCAAGCAACTGATGATGCACATCATGTCCGACGACTGCGTCATGCCTGTCCTTCCTCGTTGGCAATCGTCGGTCCTTTAAGCAGCATTATTATATTGTTGGGGAACAGAGGTTCGCTCATGCGCCTCACCTCCAGAACCACTAAGCACCTGAGTATGGCATAGCCGTTGTCCTACCTGCGTTTGTTTCTAATGTACGCAGGGCTAAAATGGGCACCGCCCTACTCGCAGCTCTTCGCCGCATGCTACGCGGTTCCAGCCACCCCCATCCTAAGAGGATAAGGCAGGCCGGAGCATTGCACGTCAAGGCAGGTGTCATGGATGCTAGGCTATTCCAAGGGTCGCCTGCTGTTTTCGGGCAGGCCCAACTCGCCCGTCGCGTCTTGCGAAACAGCGCCATCAATACCATTAAACTTCGCAAGAAACGATGCGATTTCTGTAGAGAGTTCCTGCTCAGGATAAGCCGGCACTTTATTCGGTAGGTAAAGGCGATGCCCTCGTGTCGAACACGTGCGGAATGGGTATTGCGAACGAATCACAAGGACTGCCTGGAAGAATGGAGAACTCCTATTTACTCCGTTTAGCTATGTATTGGACCCTCCTGGGCATGACTGGGTCATCACTAACCGAAATGTTCATAGATATCCCAAACATGTTATGATCGAGCTATGCTTGCCCATGAGCTTATCCCCCCCTCCCCCCAGCCTAGCGGCTCATAACTCGGCTCTACGGCGGCTGCTCGGGACGATCGGGGCACCTTTGGAAAGCCCTCTTTGAGGCGCAGCCGCTGGAAGGCACCCCGAGGCTGGGATGCCGCCAGGAACAGACGAAGACGTCTGACAACCTCGAACCCGAGACTATCTCCTCCTAACGTTGCCCCTGAGCGGATCCCCCCCCTAACGTCGCCCCTAGCTCTCACCCTGCTGCCCCTTCCTCCTCTCTCCGCGGTCGGGCCGTCTCGGGGTCGGGGCCCGCGTCCGAGATACGTGCTCCTGACTGGGCAGTCGGATTGGGTGAGGAGCGGTGGCGAACCGCCCCCCGCTGAGCCCATGCCTCCCGAATTGATGCTGCTCATGAGCCACCTGGGCCCCAGAGGTGAGACGCCCCCCACGCGGGGGCGTTGACAGAGGACACCCGCCCACTCGCGGGGCGTGCCGGCTTTCTTTTGGAAGCGCATCGTCCGCTGAAGAGCCGCTCAGGGCCGGCCAGCCCCCGGTGGGCTTAGCCCCAGAAGCCCTCCAGGCGGCACTCGAGCGGCGTGCCCGCGGAGCCGGCGGCAGGTGCGGCCACCGACTCGGCGACGCCCAGCCTCTCCACGTAGAGGTCCACGAGGCCGTGCCCGACGGCGGCCTGCCGCAGCACGCGGAGGCCCGCGCTCGAGCAATCCAGCAGCCCGCTGGCCCTGGCGGCCTCGAGTGCCTCGCGCGAGTGGCCGGGGACGAACGGCGGGCGAGTCAGCAGCGTGGCGTGCGGGATCGTCCCGGGCTCCATGGGCAGGCCACCGTCGAGGACCCGCAGGACGACCACGACCAGCGCGCCCTCCGCGTACACCAGGTGCGTGCAGCACACCCGCCACGCCGAGCCCGCCATGCCCATGGCGCGACGCGCTTCCTCTGGGGAAGCCACGATGTACCGAGAACTACCGCGGCCCCCCCAGACCTCTCCCGGGGTGCGTTCTGACCCGAATTGCGAAGAAAATTCAGCCGTGGCGACGAGGGCCGCCCCGGAGGCCGAACAAGGCGACAGCGAGGCAAGGGCAGCGGTAGGGGCACCCTTTCCTCCTCTGCTCCTCGGACGCGGCCCCGCCTCGGCGCCCGCCGACGTAGAACGTCGTCATGTGCAGGTCGCGCGGCCAGCGGAACGCGGCCGACGACTGAACGGGCGGCGAGACCACGCAGCTGGCGCCCGGCAGCTCCCCGGGGGCGCTGCCGCGCTCCCCCGCGGCGTCGGCGGCGGCCTCCGCCGCCGCTCGCGGGCCCTCCACGGGGCGATCGGATCCGCGCTCGAGCAGCGGCACGTCGAGCGCACAGCCGAAAGATTGAGCCAGCCGCAGGGCGAACGCCGTGACGGTCTCATAGAGGATGGGCCGATTCTCCGCCACCACTACCACAGGTAGGAGAACGAGAAGGAGGAGCAGGAGGAGGCGGAGGAGGAGGAAAAAGAGGAGGAGGAGGAGGAGGAGCAGGAGGAGGAGGAGAAAGAGGAGGAGGAGCACGAGGAGGAGGAGGAGCAGGAGGAGGAGGAGGAGGAGCAGGAGGAGGAGGAGGAGCAGGAGGAGGAGGAGGAGCAGGAGGAGGAGGACCTCCCCTGCCCTACCCGTGGTGGTGCAGTGGTGGAACACTGGCCAATCAATGGAGGAAGCCCGCGTGCGGGCGCAGACACAGCCCCACGTACAGGGGCGCATGGGCGGCGTCTCGGGGCACGCGGCGCTGAGAGCCGATCGGGCAGCCGTCTCCGCCGCCTCCCGGGTGGGATCGGCTGCGGACGGCACCGCCAGCGACGCCACCGCCGCCGCAGGAGCCACCGCCGTCGGCCTCCGGGCTCTCATCCTCCCCCGGCGCCGCTCCGAAGTAGTGCCCGCCGACGCCCCCGGGGTCCGTGCGCTCGACCTCGCTGAAGTAGTGGCGGCCGCCGAACAAGAGGCAGCCGCACGAACACAAATAGGGGGAAAACAAACCTACCTCGCTTCTGACCACCCTCGCTTCCAAGCGATACCAAGCGATGCCAAACTACGGCCTGTACTGGTCAGACCGCTTGACGAGGAGGCGCGTGGTATGACTTGGTTTTGCCTGGAAGCGAAAGCGGGGTAGGTAATTCACGCTCTGAACAGACCTGGATCGCCGCCGGCACCCCTTTCCCTCGCGCGCGGAGCGCGCCAGGGGCGGCTCCAGAGGCGCCGCCACGGGGGCCCACCGCCGATCCCACCGCGCGAAACTTCGACTGGCCATCGCTCGGACGTCCATTCCCCGTGCTTTTTGTCGGTTTCGTGCGTGGCTTTTTCGCCAAATGATCAAGGGTGCTCCTCGATGGCCCTCGCCGAGGGGAAAATGCACACGTCCGAGCGATGCCAGGTCGAACGTCTGTGCTCACGCTGCCGACCCCTCTTCGAGGCAGGGCGGCCGCGCCGCCGGCCTGGCAGGCTCGCCCCCCCGCGACAGGAACCGCACCCCCAGCAGGGGCGCCAGCGGCTCCAGGCACACGGCGCGGGGCAGCCGCGGCGGCGGCCGCAGAGGAAGAAACAACGGCATACACCCTGCGAAATGCTCAAGAATTCATGGGTTAAGAAATTCATAGTCTCAGAACTTCAATAAAAACCCAACATATTTACATTGAAACGTTAAGAATAATCGAGACTCTGGCCGAAAACTTGGGTTTTCTTAAGCATCGCCTAAGGTGTAAACATGAACTTCTGGCGCTCCGAGTGGACTTCTTGGATCTGGGCACTGGACCCCCCTCCGTGTCGCGCGGAGCGCGCCAGGGGCGGCGCCGGAGGCGCCGCCGGGGGGGTCCCAGCGCGGATCCAAGAAATCCGCGCAGACCGTCAACTGTTTCTGCTTATGTCGTTGCTTCTTCTTCGAGCCTCGCCTCCCGCCGCGGGCGCGCGCCTCAGCGCCAGCAGCAGCGCGGCAGGGTACGCCGCCGCCCCGGCCTCGAGTCGTCGTCGTCGTCGTCGTCGTCGTCGTCGTCGTCGCCGTCGTCGTCGTCGTCGTCGTCGTCGTCGTCGTCGTCGTCGTCGTCGTCGTCGTCGGCGTCGGCGTCGGCGTCGGCGTCGTCGTCGTCGTCGTCGGCGTCGGCGTCGTCGTCGTCGTTGCCGCCGTCGCCGTCGCCGTCGCCGTCGTCGGCCTCGCCGCGCGGCGAGGCAGGCGGCGGCGCCGCTTCCTCGCGCGCGGCGGCGGCGCGCCCCGCGCCACTCGCGGCGTCGCCGGCGGGCTCCGCCGCCTCCGCCGGCCGCCCGGCCGCTGCGGCCTCCGCCGGCGGCGCTGGCGGCCCCGCGGCTGCCTTGCCCGCTGCATCGCGGGGGGGTGGGCCGAAAGCAGTGCTTACCATTCCGAGGATGGCCTGCCTCCTGCCTCCTGCCTCCTGCCTCCTCCTCCTCCTCCTCCTGCCTCCTCCGCATCCTGCCTCCTCCTCCTCCTCCTCCTCCTCCTCCCTCCTGCCTGCCTCCTCTCCTCCTCCTGCCTCCTCCTCCTTCCTCCTGCCTCCTGCCTCCTGCCTCCTGCCTCCTGCCTCCTGCCCTGCCCCCTGCCTCTCCTCCCTCCTCCTCCTCCTCCTCCTCCTCTCCCCTCGTCCTCCTCCTCCTCCTCCTCCTCCTCCTCCTCCTCCAGGACACCGCTGCGCGCCGCTGCGCGCGGGGAGGGTCGTCCGACGTCGGGCAGGCGGCGCTCGCAGGGGGGGGGGGGCGAGGAGCACCTCCAGCGCCCAGACCTCGCCGACATAGGCGCGCTCCCCCCCCCCAAAGCTGGGGCAATGCCCAGGGGCATCGAGCAGGAATCGCCCCAGACAGTGTTTTTCGTTCTCGTTTTGTGTTCGTGCTCCCTCGTTGTGCCTTCAATCCGCCTTTGCCGCAAAACGAAGTCGAATCGACAACGGCCCACGAGATCGTCAAAATTCCGCTTGTGTCGACCCCTGAGAAAAAAACACCCTCATAATGAGCATCCCGGCAAGCGACAAGCGAAGTCGTTTAGTAAACGCACCCGAGGGGGGAATCGAACAGGACAGGGCAGCATAGTAAAAACGCCCAGGGCCGCCAGGAAACGCAAACTATGGGGGTCGGGGTGGCTAAACAACCGTGCGCCTTCCGTGCCCCTGTGGGGCCCCAGGGAGCTCCTTTGGGGCCCTCAGGTGCTCCTTCCTGTACTGCGGGATGACGATTGATAAAAAATGGGAGAGAACGATTAAAACATACTTTTCTGCTATTTCTGAACAGTTTTCTGCCTGGAGGAGAACGATTCAAAACATAGTTGTCCAGCCCGCGGCCGGTTCTTTCTGATCGTCTTCGCGGGCGCCGCCGCGTGAACACGACCCCCGGTCATTTATGAACCGTCATCCTCCATTAACCCCCCCCGTCTTCTTTGGACGCCCGAAATGGGTACATAAGAAATGGGTACAATGCCCAACAACAAATGTTGTCCCAAACCAACAGCCGCCGCTGTTGGGCAAGCGGCCTCCTGTCTCGAATGGGCACAGGCCGCGGCGGCGTGGACAGCGAATCCTGTTCAAAATGGACAGGGACTGCTGCTGGGCATTGTGCCCATTCTTTCCGTGCCCATCTCGGGCGTCCAGATCTTCATCGCCCACCCATTGTGAGCAACGCCCCGCTGCCGGCGCGGGCCCTCCGGCGCACGGGCGCCGCACCTTGCAGACGCCGGCGCGCCGCAGCGCCTCCGACGCCATGCGAGCCGCCCCCCGGCGCGCGGCGCGGAGGGGGCGCGCCCCGCCGCCATGGCGCACTCTCGGCGTGGGGCGGGGCCTCGGACCTGGGTGGGGCCGGCGGGGCGCTGCTATGGTTGGGCGCCCGCGAGTTAACCGGGGTAACTCGGGCCCGGGCTAACTCGGGTTCGGACTCCCGAAAAAGGAGCCCGAGTTAGCCCTGACCCGAGTTACCCCTGATGATTCGGGGCTCTGGACGCCCGATGTGTATCCGGGGTAACTCGGGCCCGGGCTAACTCGGGTTCGGACTCCCGAAAAGCGAACCCGAGTTAGCCCTGACCCGAGTTACCCCTGATGATTCGGGGCTCTGATATGGTGTCCGCGGGGCGTGGCCGGCAGAGGCAGGCAGTGGGCGCGGCGGGCGCGCGAGTGAGGCTGTCTCGGAAAAACAACAGCAACGGGGCGATGAGGGGCGAGACCGAGCTCACGGAACCGCGCCAGCGTGGCTAGCGGGGACGCAACGCAGAGAGTGTGTAGGACACGGAGGAGGAGGTGGATGAGGATGAGGTGGAGGACCAGGGGTGCTGGGGAACCGACGTGCTGGGACCCTGGCGGGCGGTGGATATGAATGTAATATGATTTACGTGGGCCCTGGGCCCCAGAATACACGGCAAATTCGTGTCGTGTCGACCCGAGCGTTGGTTCCTGACACCGCGGGGATCGTTCAACCTTGAACGATCGGCCGTTTTCGCAACCTCCGATCGTTCAACATCAACCGATTCTGGGCCGCCGCTGGCGTTCATCGTTGAACGCCGGCGGCGGGGTCGACACGACACGAACCTACCGTATCCATATCCACCGCCGGCCGAGGTCCCCGAAGACCGATCCATCGGGCGGTGGTGACGGATGCTCGGAGTTTACTTCACGCAGGCGTGGCCGAGTCGGCGAGCGGTGCTGGCCGATGCCACGGGGCTCGGGCGGAAGCCGGCGGAAGAGGTAAAAATTGAGCTCGGCGCCCTGCCACGCTCGCGGAGCGCGCCAGCCCCACGGGGAGGAAGGGGGAGAAGTAGGAATAGAGGACCAAAGACAACATGAGCACACGGTGAGGGTAATGGATGAGAAAGCCAGTGGGACTCCCATCTTAGACTGGCCATGGATATCACCGCCACCCTGATCAGATCAGGAATCTTCCAGGGTTTGAAGCCTCCTGGGCACATCCCTTAACCAACACCCCCATCGTTTTTTCTCCGAGGTCCTCGCGTATTTCTTGGACCGGCGCTGGGGCCCCCCCTGGCGGCGCTGGAGGCTCTCTGGCGCACTTCGCGCGCCAGGGAGGGGTGTCCAGTGCAGATCCAAGAAATCAGCGCTGAGCTCCGAAAGTTTGCGTTTATGCAATTCCTTGTTCCTCGAAGGAGTGCGAGGGCGAGGAAATTTCGGAGGAAGATGAGGGGAGTAAAGCAGAAGAGGGCACGGGGAGGCAATTTCGGAGGAAGATTCGGAGGCAACGCCTGGGAGGCCCCCGTAAGAACGATTCAAGACTAGCAAGCTAGATGAAGGGGCCATGAAGCCAAATTCGCCCGGATCGGGGATTTCATGTCGATCAAACAAGCTTGATCTAGCGGGTGTATGCCGGGTTAGGCCAGTCTTTGACCACAGATATGCAGGCGCCGATAACTTGATTCTCCCATGAGTTGCATCCTAGAAGGAAGAGGAGACGGGGGGAGGACAGCTGCTCAAAGCACACCGCGCCAGTGTTAGGGGAACAAAAAATGACATAAGCATAAAAGCTCGAAAGTCCGCGCGGCTTCTCGGATCGGAGCGCGCCAGGGGCGGCGCCGGAGGCGAGCCGAGAAATCCGCGCGGACCTACGAGTTGTTATGTTTATGCCACTCTTTGGTCCCCTCAGTATACCTCACGCCAGCGAGCAGGAGGCCAGGGTCTCCTTCACGAAGGCCGACTTGCGATTCTCGATCTCTGGCTCGGAGGCATCCATCTTCGCCTTCACCTCGGCCTCCAGCTTGGCCTGCAAGGCGGACGCCTGGGCCGCCCTCTGGGACGACGCGGCGGCGAGCTTCGCCTTGATGCCCTTCTCGATCTCCTTGCGGTACTCCGAGACCGCCGCCGAGGCCGTCTCGCGCGCCTCGCGGATCTTCTCGGTGTACTCCACCTGGATCGCGTCTGCCTTGGTGAGCTTGTCCGTCGCCAGCGACAGGGTCTCCAGCAGCTTGGCGTTCCTGTCCTCCATCTCGTCGCCCACGGGCGCGTACCACAGGGCGTTGAGGGTGGCCATCATGGTGAGGAACGTAATGGCCACGAATGGGAGGGTGAGGCCGAAGTCGAACATGCCGCCGGCGTACGCCGGCGCGGGCGCGGCGGCGAGGAGCGCTGCGCCGGTGGCCACGGCCAGGGGCTGCCCGGCGGGGGGGGCCGAGCGCTGGGCGGGCGCCGCCACGAAGCCGGAGCCGCAGCCGAAGAGGGCCAGCGCCAGGGCGGAGGCCGCAGCGGCGCGCAGCGCGGTGGAGCGTGTGCGGGCGGCCATCTCTGGGCGGGGTGGCGGTTGGCGGCAGCGGGGCTGGCCGGCGAAGGTCGCCTGCTTATGCTCGGCGGTTCAGACAGTCGGGCCGCGAGGCCGAGGGATAGAAAACCCCAAGGAGGAGGGTCCTCAGGCAGTGGAGGTTCGACCCGCGGTCCCGTTCTATCCTTCGGGCGCCCCATCCCTCGGAGCCCCACCGTTGAACCGCCGACCTACGCCCTCGGCTCGAGACAGGGTGGCTCGGACCAAAATGACTGCGGAGGGGCAGGAGGAGCTCGGGGAGGGACCTGCTAAAGAGAAGCTCCTGGAAAGCTCCCAAGCGCCATTCCGATCGGTCCTCCTGTGGCGCAATCCATCCTCCCATTGCACCAGCCATGCGTCGTGCAAGCCCTCATCAATGCATCAATCGATCCGTGCTGCAACCGATCATTGTTTCACAACCGACACGCATGCTTTGAGCATCGGGTCACGAGCGGCTCACAACTGATCAACGCATGGCTCCATTCCCACTCGACCCATACTTGAACTATTATTACTTCATAACTGATACACGTATGGCTAGCTAGCACCTGATCCACACTTGATTCAGCACTCACCTTCGCGATTTAATCAACGTGTATTCGCTATTGCATCGCGACTGGCTCAAACTGTGCTAGCACTTGGTTGACAACCGAGTCGCAATTCATTCACAATGGAATGACAATCGATTCAAGTACTGCCTCTGTGTTGTCGTTGCCTGGCTGGGTGGTGTAATGTTCCAAGGCTTTCCTCTCTCTCTCTCTCTCATCGCAATCGGCTGTGTACACTGCTCCCCTCTCCTCCCGAGGCTCCCTGGGCGTCCCGACTCCATCCTGGCGGTCTCTATGCCCAGGGAGGCCACACCTGTCTCTAAGATGCCCCAGGATTGCCTCAAGAGGAACCCCAAAGCCCCCAAAGAGGACTTCAAGACGACCTCAGCATGCCCTAGGAGGCGGCCAAAGAAGGCCCCGGAGCCTTCCAAGAGGCTCTGCGGGAAGCCCCTGAAAAGCAAACGGCCGAGGAGCACCTCGAGTGCTCCACGTGTGCTGCATGCCAAACGCCTCAGATTGGCCCAACAACCAGCAACAAACCACAACATGCCTCGGGGATCTTCTGACCCGGGTCAATCCAGACCCGGATCAGTAGGCCTTGCAGGATCCTGCAAGGTCCTGCGCCCAAACCCGGGTCAGAGCGAAACATCCAGCAGAATCCTGCAGGATCCTGCACCCAAGCCCGGGTCCATGCGACCCTGGCCATGCAGGATCCTGCAAGATCGCGCGCTCTGGCTGACCCCCGTTTGCATTGACCCCCGTCTCTTGGCTCCCGAATTTGGACGCCCGAAATGGGCACCGAAAGAATGGGTACACTGCCCAACAACAAATGTTGTCCCAAACCATCAGCAGCCGCTGTTTGGCAGGCTGCCTCGTGTCTCGAATGGACACAGGCCGCGGCTGCGCGGACAGCGAGCCCTGTTCAAAAGGAACAGGGACTGCTGTTGGGCATCGTACCCATTCTTTCCGTACCCATGTCGGGCGTCCAGACCGAATGCCCCCGTTCCTTGGATGCTCGTTCTGGGGACCTTCCTGGAGCCACTCGCTCCACTCGTGCGTCGAAGCTGCGTCGAACGTCAGTCGAGTTGGGCCGACCCTGAGTCGAACCTGAGTCGAACCTGAGTCGAACTTGAGCCGAACTTGAGTCGAACTTGAGTCGAACAGATCCGCGAGGTGGGCTCCAGGAAGGCCCCCGAAACGAGCCTCGAACGTTCCCCCTCCGAGCCGGCCCCGGGGGAGCAACCGGGTGCGGGGGGCAGAGCCTCCCGCACACGGCGGGGAGGCGGGGGAGGAGGAGGAGGAGGAGGAGGAGGAGGGGGAGGAGGAGGAGGAGGAGGAGGAGGAGGAGGAGGAGGAGGAGGAGGAGGAGGAGGAGGTGCGGGGGGCAGAGCCTCCCGCGCACCTCTTGCTCTCTCTCCGGGGCGGCGGGCACGGGCGGGCCCGCGAGCCGAGCGCTTCTGCCGCGCCGACGCCGGGCAAACCGGGCAGACCGGTGGACGTCGAGCAGGTGGCGGGGCGTCCCGGCTCGCCTATGTTCGGGAGCGGCCAGGAGGGGGGTGTCCAAAAGATGCTCCTCGATGGTCCTCGCCGAAAGAAAAATGCACACGTCCGAGCGATGCCAAGCGGCGTGGGCGTGTCCTCGGGCCCTCTGCCTCCTCCTCTGAGCCGCCAGCCTCGCCCCTGGAGGAATCTTCAGGAGGCCCGGACCCCCAATTATTCGGGAGCGGCCGAGAGGGGGGTGT